GATGATCTCAACCTTGAATTGTCCCTTGCACCTCCGAATGCGCAGATAAGGGCTCCTCCAAACCCTGTCTTCCCAAACTCTACATATCATCACGGCACGGCCTCAAACTTTGCTGAGGCAATACCGAACTTTGCTAAGGCAAGGCCGAACAGAGCAGTGCTGCTGGGAGGCATGATTGGCAGCAAGCTCACACCTGCAGATCATTGGCATATAGCACACAGGTCTGACAATGTGGCAGTGGATGAGTCCCACACTTTTACCGCGCTCCAAGCAGTCTCGGCCACAAATCTGGGCTTGCGCCTACTGGCGAGGACGCGGGAGTGTTCAGCACTGAGTGAGGAGGTGGCCTCCTTGAAAGCTCTGGTGGCGGATTTGCAGAAACGGCTCTACTGTGCCAACCAGAATGTAGAAGCACTGCAGAAGAGAAATAATGATCATGTCGAACTTTTGCAGGTTCTACAAGTAAGAGCAAATAGAGGCAATTAGCATGATGCCTCAGGTGGCTCAGAATGCAAAATGAATCATGTGATTCAGAACTCTACGTATGCATGTTCAAAATTGTGTTTGTAATCACATGGTATAGAATGAAATAAGCATTTGAGCCAAAATTTCTGATTGAGCAATCATGAATCAAATTTCTTATATGAAACACTGTTTATGAATAATGGAGATTTAAGATCAAACAATGTCATAAAGAAAAGTTGAAAGGGAAATAAAATAAAATAAAATAAATAAATAAATAAAATTCTACTAACAATAAAAGTTATACTAGCAATAGAAGTTGAAATAAACAAACCAAACAATCTTTTAATTAAAACCTCCATAAATAAATAAATAAAATTTTGTGCAGGAAATTAAAAGAACATTTGGAATTTTTGCACCAGGTGTTCCCGACGCATCTTTAAGTTCTTATCCACCTTCAAATTCTGGTATCCACCCGTTTTCTTCTTGTACCTGTGCAGAATCCAACAAAGAAAAATTATAATTTACTTTAGAGTTTTGTGCAAAATCATAATCTTCATTGACTAAACAAGTTTGCAAAGAATCAGAAAAACAAGAAGAATCAAAACAATCTTGAACAATTGTATCAATCATGTCAACTTCTTCGTAATTTTCTTCGCTTCCAGGCTGCTTGCGTATGTTGAATATGTTGAGCTCTAATGTCATGTTCCCAAATGATAGTTGCATAAGTCCATTCCTGCAATTAATATGAGCATTAGCTGTAGCAAGGAAAGGTCTTCCAAGAATAATAGGAATTTGAGAACTAGAATACGCAACTGGTTGAGTATCCAAAACTATAAAATCAACAGGAAAATAGAATTTGTCTACCTGAACCAGCACATCTTCCACCATACCTCATGGAATTTTTACTGAACGATCAGCCAATTGCAATGTTACAGAGGTGGGTTTTAATTCACCAAGACCCAATTGCTTATAAACCGAGTAAAGCATCAAATTTACACTAGCACCCAAATCTAATAAAGCATGCTCAACATAAAAATTCCCAACAACACATGAAATTGTGGGACAACCTGGATCTTTATACTTGGGTGGAGTATTAGTTTGAATAATTGCACTTACATTTTCAGTTAAAAATGCGGTCTTTTGAACATTGTGCTTTCTTTTTACAGTGCATAAATCCTTTAAAAATTTTGCATATGAAGGAATTTGTTTGATAGTATCCAAAAGAGGGATATTGATTTTCACTTGTTTAAAAACCTCCAAAATTTCAGAATTTAAGTCTTTCTTAACTGCCTTAAGTGCTTGTGGAAAAGGGACAAAAGAAGGATATTTCAAAATTCCATAATTATTTTCTTTAATATTATCTTCACTATTCTTTGGTATTTCAAAATTCTTTTCTTTTTCAACATTTGTTGAATTTTCTAGCCCAATTATTCTTCTACTTTGCGGAGTAGTGACAACTTTAACTTGATCATGCTTATTATCAGGCAAAGAGAATGAATTCGAAGGAATGTTTACCTCAAATTGTCCAACAAGATTAGGTTGAGTTTGAGCAGGAAACTTGCCTTCCTCATCAACTGATAATGCAGAAGTTAGTTTCGAAAGAATATTCTTAATCTCACCAATTGCTTGTGCAGTTCTTTTGTTAGTAGCATTCTGCCTCTGCATGAATTGCTTCAACACACCTTCCAAACTTTGTAATTGTGAAGATTGTCCTTGCATCTGTGGAGAATAAGAAGAAAAATTAGGCTCCTTTTTTGGGACATTATCATTAAAATTATTTTTCCAACTAAAATTTGGATGATTTTTCCATTGTGGGTTATAAGTTTCAGAACAAGGTGACAATGAAGATTTTTTGAATTGATTTATGTAGTTTGCGTGATCATGCAACATGTTTCTGAAAACTGGGAGTGTTGGACACTCTTTTGTTGCATGTCCTATGACCTCGCAAATTTCACAAATATTAAATTTTTCTTCGCTTGAAACTGAATTAATTCCATGTAGCAGTTTAGAGTTCAAAGTTTCAACTTCCCTAGCTATTTTTGCTATTTGAGCTTTAAGACCATCTTCCTCTTTAAGCCGATCAATACCGTTACCAGAAGCGTTGGCAGAAACTTTGGTCTTTTGGACAATGATGTGAGAACTTTCGGAAGGTGTCCAATTTTGAGATTTTTCTGTGATTTCATCAATGAAATCAAATGCATCATCAGGATCTTTATTCATGAAATTTCCATTACACATTATCTCAATAAATTGTCTATCTTTAGGCAATAATCCATCATAAAAATAACCAACAATTCTCCATATTTCAAAACCGTGATGTGGGCATGACATTAATAAATCTTTGTACCTTTCCCAAGCTTGAGGTAAAGACTCAAATTCATTTTGGGCAAATGTGGTCATTTGTCTTTTCAAAGAATTTGTCTTTTGATTTGAAAAAAACTTTTTGAAAAACTTAGTTTGCATTTCAAGCCATGTTCCAATTGTTCTTGTCTTTAATGAGTAAAGCCAAGTTTTAGCTTTATCTTTTAGTGAGAAAGGAAAAAGTTTAAGTAAAATTGTATCCAGCCTACATCCTTCAGTTGAAAAAGTACCACAAACTTCTTCAAATTCTCTAACATGTGAATATGGATTTTCAGACTCCATTCCATGAAAACTTGGTAACAATTAAATCATACCCGGTTTAAAATTAAAATTATTATCATTCGTAGGAAAGATAATGCAAGATGGCACACTTCTTCGGGTAGGATACAAATAATCATGCAATGTTTTAACAGGTGGATTATTATAGTGTATATCCCTAGCTTCATCATTTTTATTATGGACACTATGATTATCTTCAATATGATGGAAAGTTTCATTGTTTTCATTAGTTTCAGCCATTTCTGATGATCCTAAGTCAAAAAGAAAATTTTCAAAAACAAAAACAACCTCAGGTTCTAATTGAGGTGTTTCTATAAATCTACCAATTTTATCACGAGTTCCCATTAATAAAAAAAATAAAATAAAATTTACATAAAGTAAATAAATAAAGAAATAATAGAAAATACAAAATAATATTAACAATGAGATGAAAGTTGGAAAGAGTGTACCATATGTGAAGAATTTCACATAACCAGCAAACCTCTGACCAAGGGGATCTCTGTATTCTTTGACAAGCCGCTCCCCGGCAACGGCGCCAATTTGTTCGCACCACTTTGCAAAACCCAAGGGAGGTGTCGTATAGCAGTGTAGCTCGGAAGTCCGAGTGTCGTATCCACAGAGAGCAGTGTAAAGAAAATAACAGAGATGAAAAAGAACAAGTGTGATTGAGAGGTTGATTTATGCAAGATTTGATTTAGAGAAAATTTAATTGATTAAAACACTAAGGCATTGGGGTTCCACTTTTAACATAAGCATGCAACTCTTATTAATTTGATCCACAAAATATTTTCCATAAATTCTATTAATCTTTAGTAATTCTCTTCTCTTTTAAAAGCATGAAAGTTTTTACTACACAATGGGAAAAACATGATTGAACCCATGAAATAGATTATCAAACATTCATCAATTAATTAAAAAGAAAACTACAAATTCCATTTGAACAAAAACTACAAATTCACATTAAAGCTTAAGTTTGGATCAAACTAATAAAAATTACACACTTATATTAAAAGCTTTCTCCCTAGCCTTAGCTAGGGAGTTAGTTCCCCATAATAAAATAAAACTAAAAACAGAAATTAAAACTTAGAAAGATATGGAGGAAGGAGAGAAAGCTCAAGTTGTGAGGCTTGGTGTGTTTTCCTTCTACGGCAACACTCTATTTATAGAGAATGGGAATTGCTCATGTTGCAACTTGCTTTGATTAAACTATTATTCCACCTTGCTACTACCAAGTGTTTCACCCGTCAATTGCCATCAAATGCTTCCATTACTTGTGTTGATGACTCCACTTTCTTTGTTTATTTCACTCTAGTGCTGGCAGCACCCTCCAAATCTTCATCCTCATTTGTTTGGCTGCCACACTTCAATGCTTTTGTTTTATTTATATCAATGCCATCACCACTTCTTCATTCATTTATTTGTTTACTAACAACTTCCAATTGCATTTAATTGTTTGGAAGCTCCACCTAAAAAGAAGAATAAAAAGACTTTAAACAAAATTAACTAAAGCACTAACAATTTAAATTTAGGGATAACAAATGTAATAATTATGTGCTCATCACATACTCACGCAATGGTTCGTCATCTCTCTGCCGGATGGTATACAGGTCATCGGCAGAGTACAGTCTGTCCGTCTGAATCACGAAGTGGTTCAGGAAGATTTGTTTCAGCTCGTCGAAGGAATCGACCGTCCCCGGCTCCAAACGGTAGAACCAATTTAGAGCTGCTTCCGTGAGTGAGGAAGGGAACAGAAGGCACATGCCTTCGTCGCTTAGCCCTCGGCACCCCACTGCCGATTGGAAGGAATGAAGGTGCGTCAGTGGATCCTCCACTCCCGTGTAAGGGGTTATGCGTAAGGGTTGTACGTCCCTATCCTGCTGTGAGTGCCTTATGCGCTCGGTGAAGGGTCTTGGCCGGAGCCTTCCCCAGTCTGGCTCCTGAGAGCGAGTTCGATCGTCCTCCATCTTCTGTACCCTTTGAAGGAGGAGGCGGATGACAAGGTCCCTGTCCGGTATCTCCTCCACAGTTTGATGTACCGATCGCTGCTGGGACCTAAGAGGATTGACCTCAGAGAACTTCGTCGGGGTTGCCGAACGGTAGGATAATGACCGGTTTGCGGAAGGGACGTACTCTTGGTCAGACTCTGCCGTGGATTCCAGGACCGGTATCCTCCGTATTGGGGATTTCCTCCCCATGCTTCTCAGTCGGGGATCATCTAGGCGGGCATTGATCCTGATCGGCGATTCCTGCCGTTCGGTGTGTCGTTCGGCTTCCCGTTCCAACAACCTATGGCGGCAATCGGAATAAACCTTCTTCGGCACGTGGGGCCTATTTTTTGGGGCCGGGACCACCAATTGTTTAGATGGCGCAGGCGCAGGCGTTGCCTTTGCTGCCCTCTTGCCCTTCTTCTGCCGGCGGGGGGTCTGCAGGCTTTCGGACGATCGATCTGTCGGCATGTTTTGCGTTTGCTGCTGGTTCAGCAGCAGTTGTGTTTCTTCCACTCTGGTCGAGAGGAGATTATTGTGTTCTTGCATCCTAGCCATGTCCTGCCGAAGGGACACGACTTGGGCGGCTAACCCCGCTTGGCATGCCGAACGGCATCCCCTCCCGCGGTACGAACGTAGTTTTTTCAGTGGTCCCCATATGTTCGGGATAAAGGGTCGATTTTATTGGTTCCCACAGTCAGCGCCAAACTGTTGACGCTAAAAAGTGGTTCTTTGACTTAGAGGGTCAACTTAGTAATTTTATGCCTTCGGTATTCTTGATGCCTCGGTAGTCTACGCGATCTGCAATATGAGTAAACGCACGGTAAGACCTAGGGCACCGGTGTGGTACCGGCCGAAGGCTCTCCGATGCTTAAGTAAGTTCGGGAATAGAAAGTTCAACTGACAGATCAATAGGCTTGTATACCGTAAGTTCTGATTACCTCTATTTTGGGATAGTTGGCCTCCTTTTATAGGTCTTGGGAGGTGTGCATTTTGTTGATTATTTCGATGTGGGACTGTGGGCGTCGCTTGGGAGCGTGCCACGTGTCCCAGGAAAGGGCGTTGCCCTAATGGAGAGATCGGTAGGTAGAGTGCCGAGGGCGCCTCTGACCAAGCCCAGTTCTCTCCACGTGTCTTGCCCTTATTGGCTGTTTATTTTGGGTGTAAACAATAATCATTATGTTTGCTTTTCTGGGAACTTGCATCAGAGATGCTCTTGCAAGAGTTTTGACAGGTCAAGACCAAATCCTGCCTTCATCTATATTTGTTTTGCCCCGGAAATCCAACGGCCATTCATGGACGGCCACCGGGATATGTTGTGTGAATGCGGTAGCGAGTATTGCGCGCCAAATAAATGACTAATAATCAGAGCTGCTCATGCAAGAGTTTTGACAGGTAAAGACCAAATCCTGCCTTCATCTATATTATAATCGTGCATTATTCATATTGAATTGAGTGGTATTGTAAGTGGTGGTAGTAGTCAACCAGTGTTCGAAAATGTGGATTAATTTTGAACCGCAAAATGAAAGCCGTTCATAGTTAACGAGGGTGAACCGTACACCTTTATGTGTTTGCTGCACATTTGTTCATTTTAATTGGATCAATATATAAATATGTGCATGCACTTTTTAAAAATATTTTATTTTATTTTTTCAGATAGAGAAATGTTATTGATTGCATTTATAATTTAGGCCTAAAGACCGTTAGTCGCAAAGGCCAATACAAACACAAATAACTACATAGGGTTAATACAAATACGAAAGTATAGTAAGCATAGAGGGAGGCTAATCAAACTACAAGGATTACACCCTTAACAACAAGCGCCCAAGGTGTACATCTACTCATATCCACATAGGGCCATGCAAATTCCGGTATAAAAGCCGTAAGTCTGGAAAACCCAAGGCATAGACACAGGGCCGTCCCTTAGATGTTGAGGGCCCTGTGCGAAACTTAAATTGGGGCCTCACATACTATAAATAAAAAATTTCCATAACTTAATATCATAAACAATTTTTTTATAACTAAAAGTCACAATCAATAAATATATAATGACAATCAGAAATCAAATTCATAAAAATTTAAATGTTTCCATTTGATAAAGTTAAATGTTAGGTACAAAAATAAGCTCCTTGTGCCCTTATAAGGTCCCTTGTTGCCTCCAATAAGCAATTTGTGTTTAAATTTAGGAAGGCTTATTTACTGTAGCGCCCCCTGAAACTATGGTCAAATCTCAGTTTGCCCCCTGAAAGTTAAAATGGCTCACTTTACCCCCTTGACCGATGTTTTGCGTCTCACTTTGCCCCCCAACGTTAAGTCTGTCAAAAAATCTGTTAAAAATACTGACGTGGCATCGATGTGACCCACAATTTTGCTGAACTAAGTGCCATGTGTGCAAAAAAAATTTAAAAATAAAAAATTGTCTTTTAAAAAACTTTAACTATTAAAAATAAAAATAAAACTTTAAAATAAATAAAAAATATCCCCAATTCTCCTCCTCTCTCTTCCTCTCTCTTCCTCTCTCTCATACCCAAAACCCAGCCTCCTCCCTGAACCAAAACCATGGCACCCATCTTCTAACCCAAATCATCATCAGCATTCTCCAATCCAAAACCC